CACAATTTTGAAATCTAATCTCAAAAGGCTAAATTCACATGAGAAGATAAAGTATTAATCAAAAATGGCCTTTTTATCTGTAATAAAAGAAATCTCAGTATTTATCTACTCATTTTTGTGCACTCTAACTTGACTATTGAATAAAAAACTGCCAGGAGACAGCTCTTCAGACAATGCATTCTGAAAATCATGGTTTTGTGTGGCACTTATAAGACACAACACTCTCTAATCACCACCAAAAAAATCTAATGAAAGTTCACATAACTGGCGAAACTCAGAAGTGCTGAAAAATAAGAACAGGTGAATTTTTGTCTTCATGACTCCATTATCACATATATGATCAGTGCGGACTGAAACCCTTAGAGGACACACAGAATACTAATGGTACACCTTACAGAAATATCTAATGTATTAATTTCTGTTTTAAGCTTCTTTGCCCTCTACATGGAAAATAAACGGAAGACAGAAAAGAAAAAAAAGAAAAAGAAAATTATATGTACACCATATTCCTATAACCATTTTGTAAAAAGGGCATATTTAAATCTGAGACAGCACTTCCATCCTCTGGATTTTGGGGCAGGGGAGCCAGAAATCACCCCTCGGACATCCATCAATGTGGCTTTTAATGCCAGATATACAAGTGTCTTCCCCATTACTTTTATGCAAAAACAAAATCCACTTTTACAACCTATTTAATAAGTCACACTTTCTCAAACACATTAATTCTTATTAAGTAAGCCAACCAGAGTCTAGATGAACTAGCTTGAAAATAAAGCTCTAAAGTTACCTTTTAAATACCACTGAGGCAAAGCTAGTGAACACTGTAGTAGCTCTTTTCTTGATTTAGGCAAAATTATTTTTTCATTTAAGCAAGGAGGTCAGGATGACCTTAGCAGTAGCTTCCACATGCATCAGAAAGCTTTCGAAGTCTATCAATTTTACAAGAAACATCAGTAGAAGATAACTGCTAGCATCCCCTTCCACTTTACCTAGGTGGTTCCATCCATCTACTTCCCAGAAACATCCGACTTTTAGATTAAGCTCATTTCTGCCTTTTCAAAAAAAAAAAAAAAAAAAAACAAAAAAAACCCAAACCAACCCCAAACTGATAATGCAAGCTGTACAACATAAGCAACCTCTTCAACCGTTTTCTGTTTCAAGAAAAATTGAATGGAATTTCCTAGTAAAGAGACAACACACTTCTGTAGCCAGAAGGCCTGATGCCAATCATAGATGCAGAAGAGGTTCCCGAGTGGTCCCATATACTATTCCAAGTGCTAAGCAAGTTACTAAGAAGTCAGCACTGACTGCACTGAAAACTGAAGTCACCTTAAGGTTCTAACATGACCTACTGCACCTTTGGAAGTGGATACTTAGGTATAGACGATCTAAAATACCTATGCAACAGGATAGATAGATGCTCAACATTAAAAAAAAAAAAAAGAAAAAAAACAAAGAAGAGACAGGGGAAGCAAGCATTCATCTCCTATCATGGAGATGAATGGTTAAAAACTTCTGATCCTACACTTAAACCAGTAGTTCACAGATGATAGTCTGAGAGGCCATATAATTAGTTTATAAATGACCTACAGAATAACACTACCTATATGACCTAACAGCAAAAAGCTTAAAGTATGACATCTGTGTAAGAAATTCCGGTAACTGAAAAGTGTTCAGCTCTCAAAATCATTCAAGGCAGTAATGTAGAAACCTGACCTACAGATAGCTGATACAGAAATTCATGAGCTAGACAGAGTTGTGTAGAAATGATGAAGTATGCTCTACACCAGTCTTTTTAACATATCCTGAACATTAAGGTAGGTGTTTCAGAAAACAGAATTGTTACAAATGATGTTATAAAAATGCCCAGTCTTTCATATACGCTCACTATCCAAGTAAGGAAACAGTATACAATCCTTCCACCTTAAACTAAACAGCAAAGGGGCTTTCCTGCTTCACACCTGCTTCAGCAGCAGGTGTGCTCAGGGGCTACACCCACCAAGTATTTTCCTCCTCACTACAATCTTCATATTTCTATACTTCTCCAGCTACCAACTCTAAAGAACCAGCTATATGCCAAGGAGACATATAGTCTACTTACTAATGATTAAGAAAGTACACCAAACCAAATGTCTCCACATGTGCCTCAGTTTCCAGAGATGCTGAAATCATCTTCATTTCAAATTCTTTAGGAGAAAAGCGCTAGTGTTTAAACACTGAGCATATATGTTTCTTCTCTGATAATTTAAATAGCTTAATTGCTCCTCCTCGAGATCTCTGGAAAGGCAAACCATGTTTCAATTCCAAGGGAAAAAAAGCGCATTAAAAAACAGATTAAAGGGATCATTTAAATGAAGAATGCTGCGAAATTATCCACATTGTTCATTATTAGTTTATGGGTATGTATTTAACTCACACACACACACGTTTTTTCTAAAGGGGAAAAAAAAAAAAAGAATAGTCAAAGAAAATTAGACAACTAAGATTTGGGTCTGCAGCATAATCACTTTTCCTTTTAATATGCCCATTTCTGTTTTGCTTTTAATTCAGGTATTAGTTTTCTAGGACTAAGCACATTCACATTACAAAGAGTACTTAAGCAAGAGTCTCCTTCAGCTAAAGACAAGCAATTTGTAATAAAGTTCAACTTTAAAATAGTTTTAAACTGTGCCCATTTTTTACACTTCTGGTATAGAATACAGGAACTATACTTGTTTCCAGTAACATGAAACTCACATAACAGAAGAAAGCTGCATCTCTCTGCAGTCTGGAGAAGAAATTTAGTTGTTATTTAACAAAAAAAATTAAGTCTTTATATTTCTGTTCCTGGCATCTAATGACACTGTAAATAAAAAAAAAGAAAATCTGACCACAATATCCTTTTAGGGTCTGGCTTTTATGAAAGTTACCAATGGAAAGAATTGCCATAAGTACAACTGAGAATATGCACTCTAATCCCCAACTCTCACTTAGTTCATGTGTCTTAAAAAACCAAAACACACTACACCACCAATCAGAACTGTCCTAATTAAGACAAGGCCAAATTCTTTTATATAAACTCCCCCCTCCCATGGACAACAGTACCTGTTTAAATAACAGTGTTAGTTGCTTACTGTCAACTTAAGCTTTTCTGCAGTGCACCACTAAACAAAAATACCATTTTACCAAGCAAATCATAACAGAGAACAGTGCAATCAATCTGATGTTTGTAAACACCACACAGGAGCTACAGGCTGTTTGTCAAAGTCAGTCAATAAGTAACTACTTGCATTAACAAAACTTATTACTGGAAAGGACTGCAGTCTCAAAATATGTATTTATTTAGATTAACCAGCCTTAATTGTCCACTACCTGAGACTTGGGAGTCAGCTTTCAAAAAAATGGGGTTTATTTGTATTATTTTAAGAGCCCTCACTGTCTTGAGCATTCAGAGTCCTGTCACATTACAAACAATGAACCTACATGTGGAAGTGGTGCCTGCTTTGGGAAACTTTCTAAACTACTGTTCTTAAATCACTAAGAATTTAATTCAAGGGGTGAAGAAACGTATTGATATTGTAAATGCTAGAAAAAACCCAAATACTCCATAAAGACAAACTTGGTTTTAGTACCAATAGTCCAAATTTGCATTTCTCAGCCCAGTATATTATGCCTCAAAGGTTCAGCAAAGCCAAAACTGTATCTTTCTACCCCAGAGCTTTCTGTCATTGCTCAAATCCCAGAAACAAATTATTTTCACTATTGAAATGCATTATAGCTCAGTTTAACTGAAAAATGTGAGAAGAGATGCTACTGTTCTAAGCTAACTGAAGTTCATACCGAGATTTTGAACTCGTAAAATAAAGACACTAAAAATCTCCATTTTGCTCCAACTCTATTATTACTTATGAAAACATCACTTGAAACATCCCTGCTTCCTGACACATCACGTCACTAGCCTCACCAGATCTAAAGCCATCTGCCAGCCCCCTGATCACCACTGTTAAAATATGGCATGTTAAATGTAAAGAACAATTTCAGTTCTGAAGTTTATGCTTTATATTTGCACTCACATAACAAAAGCTCCTGCAAGAACTGCAAAAGACACACTAATATAAAAATTAGCTTAAACAGAACTTCTTACAAGTATAAATTTGTAAGCAAAGACAAGATCAGGATTAAAACTCTTTGTCACATGCGTTAATTCATTTTTGTTCAAACGCAAACATTTTACTACAGTTACAAGACACATACTTGATAGCATCACTGAATGGGAGGGCATGTTCATTTCAGGTTCCATGACTAAGAATACATTAACCAACTAACTTACCATCACTTACTTGCTAACTTTTCTAAAAAAAGGCTACAAGGTACCAAATTCACCCAAGCCTTGATAAACACTACTGCATTTGCAAAACAAATAATGCAAATTTAGGAAGCACCTAAAGGGAAGGTTAGTCTGCCCCAAAAGGAAAATACTTCCTGGAGGATTTTTTCTGTACTTGTTACATAGATCTTACAGTACAAGTTTATACTTAATCTAGGTGAGATGAACAAGATTCAAATCTTGTATATGCAAATGTATTTGGGGCTCTTAAAATTAGGAAAAGAAGTTCAGATTCCCAAATTATGGATACAGTTAACCTTGAGCTTGGCTGTTTTTTTTAATATGAAGGTCAACTACACGTGCTATTCTGAATTCAGTGATTAATTCTCAGAAGTACAGCGAACGACAACTGAGCAAGCCACATGATTTGGTCTGACAAAAAAAAAAAACGTTTCTGAGGACAAGACTGACCACTTGACCACTTACTAACTTCTCTGGGGAAGCTCCTGCATTTTTAATGCAATTTCACAGAAGTACTATGTACATAATTTACGTTAATCCTCTGGGTATGGCCTTTAAGGAAAGCATGTAAGAAATGCACAAAAAACCCACCCCACCAAGCCATCACCTAAAAGCACTGGTTTAAAATTAAACAGATAATTAAGTAAAGGTTTCTCTCACTTGGATTGTTTGCTTACCTCTGGGGGGGGATATAAGGAGCAGATACTGTTGGCATAACTGTACAGGGTTCAACCACTGCTTTCTTGGCCTTTTTTGTCTTTTTTCTGACTTTTGATGTAGACCTAGCAGTTCTGACTGACCCCTCCTTTCTACAAACACCATTTTTGATTTCAGCTTCTCCATAAATATTTAGAGGTCTCCGCGTGCAACCTGGTGGAGTATGTACATCGCAATAGGCAGTCTTTTTTACAGAGAATGTTGTCCCACTGCCAGTTAGTTCTTTCACAGGTTCCATTTTCATATATAGTCCAGCCTTTTGAGCACACGTCACATGGAATGCAGTATAGCAGTTTGCTTTGTGGCACTGGATGCAGGCACCAACACCTTTCTGTTTACAGAGGTAGCATGTTAACTTCCATCTGGCTGGGGGAATGTTCCTGACACCATCAATTGGCTCAATAAAAACTGTATTGGCAAATCCAACTTCTGGAATCCACAAAGCACACACCACGTGTCCCCAACGATCATCATCAGTCTTTTTAAAGGCACCTCCCTTGTTTGGGCACAGCACACAGTCTACAGGCCGAGAACGGGACTGCAGACAGTGTCTGCAGAGCCACTGGCCCTCAGGTATATATGGCACCCCGTAGCATTCCTGATGTACTGCTAAATTACACATATCACAAAACAGGATTACATTGCTGTTCTGACATTCACCATCCATGCATATACAACACACCGCATCTTCATCAATTAAAGACTGATGATCACCCTGTTTTTGGTTCTCACAGTAAGACTCTTTTTCAAACCTATCCATGAGGAATTCAAACATATTTTGCGAAACAACTGACACTCCATCACTTTTCCTCTTCTCATTTATTATTTCTAACCACGCATAATCTTCTTCATCCATGTCATACTCAACTTCGTTATCAAGTTCTTCTGCTGACTTCTCAATGAATTTGTAATAAACTGGAGGTCTCCGAGGAGCTGAAGGGGGACTGTATTCAACAATCCGTACTTTTGGTTCTGGAAGAGGAGTTGTTGTAGCAGGGCTCAGAAGAGCTTCATTTTTCTTTTTCACTTTGTTATTTTTATGCCGTTTGCTCCTTAGACAAACTGGTGGTCTTTCACTATTTTCTTTATTGCTGTTGCATTCACTCATTTCCTGGGCTGTAAGATCATCTTCTAATATAATCTCTAAAGGATCAAAGATACTGATCCTGTGCAGGCGACCTTCAATTTCTATTTCAACCATTCTCTGAGCTTGAGCGTATGTCAAGGTTTCTCGTGTGGGGGAGTGCTTAATACTGCATGGGGAAGAAGAATGCCTTGCTGCCGATACTCGATGACATCTTCCTTTTCTCCTCATTTGGTAATGTTTACCTAAAATTAGAGCAACAGTTAATATTATGAACTCCAAACATTCATACTAAAATATTATTTTTATTACAGCAACGAAAAAGCTTTCAGTTCTATAGCCCCCAACCTATCTACTCAATTAAAAAAAAAAAAAAAAGCCTCTTACCCTTACTTAATAGGACTGCTCACACTGTTTTGCACAAGTCTAACCTAATGATAAACAGATCTCCTAAATAATGGCTTCTCTAAGCAAACACAGCTGCACAAAACCCTTGATATAAAAATCCTACTGAAGAGCTACCTGTAAGACCTCTGCATGAGGGAAAATAAAAAACATTTCAGAAGCGCTACAGAAAAAAATTACACCCGTTACATTTTAAGAAAACCTTTAAAACAGTATTTCCTAATAGCTGAAGGGTGTCTGCAGTTTGATTTTTTTTTTTCAACAGCTACCCATGACTTTCTCCAGGTATCTCCCCAAAAAAACTAACATAATGGTGAACGAAGAAACAAGTTTTCCCCACTATTTTTTCCAGTGCAATTTGAAATAGTCATGCTAACAACTCATTTACTACACCCATACTTAAAGCTAGAAAAACACTCATACTCCTAAATTTGCCAAGTATGCAGTTTGACAGCCCTTTACTTTCTTACTTCTCTCTTCTCCATTCTTAGTGAGCCCTATTATTCTTTACAAAATGACAAGAACACAATTGAACTTGCAATGCCCAGTACGGCGCAGCATGGACTGCCACTAGGAAATATTCCACCTGTAAAGCAGATCTGACTTATAGCAAAAATATGCTCCCTGCACGTAAGTGTGCGTGTATGCACACCCTTCTCCCTTAACAGATTCAAGAGTTGTTCTCAGAGCAACTGGGGTAGATAAAAATCTCCCTGTCTTTAAATCTAGTCCCAAGCTCTTTAACAGAATTATCAAGTTTACCACTTTACTGGAAAAAGATTGTTCCACATACCATACAAAGAGATAGCTCCTCCCCACCATGAAGCACCATGATTAGGACAACATGCATTCTGATCGCAAAATTTCTAATTAAAAGCCTCCATACTTAGGCCTTTTGACATTTTAATGTTGGGGTTTTCTTCCTATGAGGGTTGAAAATATTATAAAACCAACTGATAACAGCAAGTTTAAACATTCTATCCCCCTCCTTCCTTCTTCCTAATAAATCATTAATAAACAGCAAAATTCAACCTCAGCTACAGAAACATCTCTTGATCTTTAATCACTGGCTGAAAGTATTATTAGGGCGTCACCATTTCAATTCCGACCAATCAGAAATTCTGCAATTCAAGTCAGTACTGTGTACTAGTTAAAATACTGCAACTAGTGTTAGCATGCATTGCCAAAATAGCAGAGAACTGTAGAGATCAAACATAATTATCATTAAAGACTAGTATATCTATTTCATGAAGAAAACAGCAAGGACTGCAACAATTGCATAAACTACTCCATGTAGACTGCCTTTTGCTTAGTCTATGATGCCAATCTCTAAAGGTGCACCTTCAAAGTACTGAAGGAACTCCTTTTACAGGAAGACTAAATAATATAAGCAGCTAGCATTAAAACTAGTTCCTGAGAGGGTCTGGTCTACCTGCTCTCACAAACTGACCTTGTTTTCCCAGAGAAATTAAAAAGACAAATCTAAGCTGGTTTTATTATTCATGCGAGAATCGTGTTACCCATAGATCTGGCTTTTACACGAGTAATCCTTAACTCTTCTTACTTGTTTTTATAGCACAAACGCAAAACCAGACATCAGTCAGTGTTTAATCATGACAGACCTCTGATCTGCTCTATATAAATAACAGATGAATAAAAAAGGCTCCGCCTCTTCAAACAAGTTTGGAAGAAATATTTTACGATTTAATTCTTTAAAACAACATAGGATTAAATCATATTGATTTCTTAACTGCAGAAAAAGTTTAAACCACTGATACCGCTACAGAAGGTCCAATAACTAGAAACAAAGATATACTGATAATTTAACTGAAATTAAAAGTTAGTTCCCGGTTTCAGATTTTATAATTCGGAGGCCAAAGATAACACAATGCCCGATTTCTGTTTGTTACTGTTTCTTATTGAGGGATTTGTCAGCTAAACACACTGATGTGTCAAGGTACAGAAACCTGCTACAGATCAGAATGGTTTCATTTTATGACTTTTTTTTTTATATCTGTGTTTAATTTAGTCACCAATCAAGAAAAACAGATCATTTACATTATGTTTACCTCATATAATTGCACTTCAATTCTGTCTACATGTAAAAGTCTGTATTTTTTTTTTTTTTTTAATGTCCCTTCCTGTATCTTGGCTCGTTGTGTATCTGTTCATAGCGGCTCACGAGGATGGTGACTGCTTTGGACGAAATACCGGGGTAGGGATGAGAGGTAGCCTTCAGATATAAAAAAATGTGCAACTTGTCCAAACTTCACTAACTTAACCTAGTACCACAGAAAAACACATTAATGCTACGTTTCCAAGCTCTCCATCCCTCTCTGTTCCCTAGATTCTTAAGCACGGCTGCAAGCAGACAGCAGAGAACAGGAAGGAAATATTCAAAAGCCCAAGTTTTCTTGCTTTAAGATTTAGGACTACTATCATATAAGTCAAACAGACTGTATGAACCAGAATGACAAAAAACAATTGAGCTAACATCTGAGCACCTTCCCTGTAATACTCAACTATAACTAAAGCTAAGTTAGGAAACACGTTACAGTCACAGTTAAATGTAGAATGGATACCCTACAAATACAATGCAATGAACACAGAATTGGAACTGGTAGCACTCTGGCCAAATTTCATAGAAACTCAATGTGAATAACTTTAATGCTCCAGAAGCCAAAGCAGTGTTTTGTTTTGTTGCAGCAGAAGTCTTGTATTTGCAAATGTCCTATAAATATTCCAGAGGAAGACCAGATTTCTGCATAGCAAATTCATGACTGACAATTGGCTTGCTTTTCCTAGCTAATTACCAGACATCTTTCTTCCCTCCCCCTCATAGTACCCTGTAGATCCATAGGAATGAAGACCATGGACCTAAGTTTGAAAAAGAGTAAACTAAGACAGTTTCCATTCAGTATTAGTAGAGATACCACACTAACAGCAAAATGAAATTACTTTAACGCACTTCTGTTAGCACTTATTTGACTCTTAGAACAACTCAAAGACCGCAGGAGATAAAACAGCAAAGTTATCCACAGCTTTCCTCTCTTGGAATTACATCAGCTGCTTGGGAAGAAGAAAGTCACCAGCAGACGTTTTCCCTCACCCCAACAAAAGTACATGAAGACAGCTGTTTGTGCGGAATGCACGGTATGAGAAAAAAAAGTACTTTTTGTCAAAGCGTAGGACAGCTAAAACCAGCAGGAAAAGTAGGAAAACATATACGCTTTTTGATTACAAATGCCTTTACAATCTCTGTCCTGGTCACCTTCCTCCTCTTCAACTCAATTGCCTTTGGCCCCTGGATCCCCTGCTCAATGGAAAAGGGAATTCCACTCTCAATGGACACTTTCATGCGGCCCATTTAAGAGAGAAAGACACAGGAATGCTCTTTAGCCCTAGACAATGAGCGAGGGTGAGCAAACGGTGCTTGCAGGCACCCGGCGCGGACACCGCCCAC